TTCTGTCAAGCATTGACAGTGTCACTGAGCCTTGTAGCTATGAAGAGGCCATAAAAGACCAACGCTGGATTGATGCCATGCAAGCTGAAGTAAAGGCATTGGAGGATAATGCAACGTGGAAGATTGTAGATTTACCAAAAGGCAAGACACCCATAGGGTGCAAATGGGTCTACAAGGTTAAGTATGAATCAAATGGTAACATTGAGCGTTTCAAGGCTAGACTTGTTGCTAAAGGGTATAGCCAACAAGAAGGAGTAGATTATTTTGAAACTTTCTCTCCTGTCATTAAAATGGTTACCATTCGGATTGTGCTTAACATTGCTGTGATGAATTCTTGGGACCTTTTTCAAATGGATGTGCATAATGCTTTCCTCCAAGGTGACTTGAAGGAGGAGGTGTACATGCACATCCCACAGGGACTCGGTAAGTTTGGAAACAATAAAGTTTGCAAATTAACCAAGTCCCTATATGGCCTCAAGCAGGCATCGCGGCAATGGAATGCAAAGCTCACTGAAACACTCTTACAAGGTGGTTTTAGACAAAGTTTTTATGATTATTCGTTGTTCATAAGGCAATCTGAGTCTGAAACTACCCTAGTACTAGTTTATGTAGATGATTTGATAATCACTGGAAGTAATTTGGATAAGATTAGTGAAGTAAAGCGACTGTTGCACAGTAAATTTAAAATTAAAGACCTGGGAGAGTTGAGATATTTCTTAGGAATAGAAGTAGCTAGGTCAAGGCATGGAATAATTCTTAACCAACGTAAATATACATTGGATATTTTATCTGAAATGGGCTTGACTGCAGCCAAACCACTTAATATACCCATGGAGCAGAATATTAGATTAAGTGGCAGCCCCAAGAAGGAGGCAGATGATCCTCTGCTTTCACAGCCAACCATGTATAGACGACTAATAGGTAAGCTCTCCTATCTTACAGTCACTAGACCTGACATCAATTTTTCTGTGCAGACCCTCAGTCAATTTTTGAATGCACCAAGGAGATCACACTATAATGCTGCAATTAGAGTGGCAAGATACCTCAAGGGAAGTCCAGGATTGGGAATAATGATTTTTGCATCCAAGTCAAGCAAACTGGAATGTTATGTTGATTCAGATTGGGGAACATGCCCAGACACTAGAAGATCAGTTACTGGCTATGTGGTGAAGTTTGGAGGATCTCCAATATCATGGAAATCCAAGAAGCAAAGTACTATTTCAAAATCTTCAGCTGAGGCAGAGTATAGAGCTTTGGGCAGCGCTGTATCAGAAGTAGTTTGGGTTACTAGATTGATGGAAGACCTTCACATAGATGGATTGAAACCTGTCAATGTATATTGTGACAGTAAATCTGCCATACACATTGCCAACAATCCTGTCTTTCATGAGAGAACCAAACACATAGAAATTGATTGTCATTTTGTAAGGGAAAAACTACAGCAAGGGATCATAAATCTTCAACATGTGAGGAGCAAGGAACAACAAGCTGACATATTAACAAAAGGGCTTGGGAAACAAGATCATGACAGGTTACTTAGCAAGTTAGGGACAAAGAACTTGTTTGCCCCCCTAACTTGAGGGGGAGTGTTAAGATATATGATGTATAGTATTGTAACTGTCATTCGGTTATGTTAAGGGGTAATTAGGTCCTTTAGTTGTTGGGCCAGGATGTATAAATAGAGCCCCCAAACCTGTTTCAAGTTTATGAATGTACAATGGGCTTTCGCCTGATTCATCAATAGAATACAGAATTATTCAGTTTTAATTTCTCTAGCCCATCTTGACAATTCTTACAGTGTGAAGACACATGCATACAAACTTTGTGAAGCTCCCCTTTCAAAGAATTGTACAAACGAACAAGAAGCGGACCCGTTGAAAGAAATAACAGTCAAGAAGATGAATTTCTATCTTCCTTCTGCATTGGGCTGGGTGCTGAAAGTTTCTATTGCCATTTTCTTCAAGAGAAATTTCAGGCGTCCTTAATATTCTCTTACCACATCATAGACAAACTTTATGTCATAATGTTTCCAGGATGAACCGTTCTCATTTGAAGACCTAGTGGTGGGGAGCAAAACAAACTTGCGACGTAAGTTTTGACTAGTTATATATTTCCGTTTTTCTTGTAATATTCTACACACACACACCTTCTATTCTGAGAACAGATATTTACATCACAAAATGTAAAAATAAACTTGGTGTAAAATGGACCACACTCTTTACTCAGATCCTATTTATGAGCTTTAAATTTGAAGAGCGGTGTGATTCATTTTATAAATTTCAATTTAAGATTTATCTTCATATTTAATGTATTTTTTATTTTGTTTTTGATTATTTATTTTCTCTCTTTTATCATACTATATCTTATCATATTTTTTCACACATTTTTTATATTTTTTATTATTTATTATAAGGATATATTTGAAAACAAAATTATATTTCTAATCTATTTATTATTTTTGATGAATTTTACTTAATAATTTATTATTGATAAATTAGCTATTTAAAATTTATAATACCGATAGGAGGGAGAATCTTCTTTTTGGAATAAGCAAATAAATTAAAATAGAAGAAGTAAAGAAGCGTCAAACACGAAAAGTAATAAATGATCGTAGCAGAAGACAATAAGAAAAAATTCTTAATAGTTGACACTTAAAATGAAGACGTAGCATTAATTAAATCTGCATTCCAATGAAAGTCATCATTTCCAATTGTGAGAATTTCATTGGTCGACCATTTATAAATATTTTTATACGCATTTTTTGAATTTGGAGACATACTCTGACGTCGATAAACTCTCAAGTCTCAATACCTAACTCACCTATATTTTTTCATTAAAAAAAAAAAAGTCATCACTTCCGCAATGGGATGATTTTTGTGTCTGATGAAAAACAAAATTAATCTCTTCATTTTTAGTATTGTATAACTATGATTCAGTTTTTTTTGTTGGCGGAAAAATCTATGATTCAGTTTTTAAGCTATACTCCTCTGGTCTTATTTATAGGGCGCAGAGAGAATGTATTTTTTGGTCCTGTTTATAAGGCACTGAGAGAAATTTTTTGCATAGATGTACAATTTTACCCTTCATTTATTGTTGTGTTGACTTTGTTTATATGAGGTATAATGTATACTCCTCTGGTTCTATTTATAAGGCACTTCCAACAAATTTCACACAGATCAAGAAAAACCTTAAACTACATTAACTCTTCATTAAAATATAGCAACTTTCCAACTTTACCCCTATTTAATATATACCCTTTTTAAAAAAATAACTATCTACACTATAATAAATGAAGGACAACATGGTAAAGTCATAGTAAAAAGTTAATGAGGTGACTTATAAATAGAACCAAAAAAAAAAACCTTCTCTCTCTGCCCTATAAATAGGACCAGAGGAGTATTAAATAGGGATAAAGTTGGAAAGTCATTAAATTTTAAATAAGAGTTAATGAAGTTTAAGGTTTTTCTTGATTTATGTGAAACATGTTGGAAGTGCCTTATAAATAAGACCAGAGGAGTATCACTCAATGTCACTGTCCATAACTCAATACACATGGCACTAATTTTGAGCAACACTATTAAAGAATGATTTATATGGCATTGATGTTAGCGCATGGTAGGACATTATATTATAATTATGATATATATCAGGTTTTGCACTTGAAAATCATTGGTTTTAACTTATCCAATTGTATTTGAACACAAACTAATTTATCCCCATGCATGCACAACAATAACCATAGCCCCACATCGCCTTGTGTAAAAGGCCAAGAACTGATCAATTCAGAATACGCAGTACATGCTACTCCCTCCATTTTTTTCTCTCATAAGAAGTAATCAATCAAATCATGTTGATAAAAAAAAAAGTTATAATTCGTTAGAAATAATAAATATGTAAAAACTATAACTTTTTTTTAAATTACCCTTATTTATAAGGAAAAAATAGTATGGCGGCTTTTTTATGGAAATGCTTCGAATAATAAAATAAAATACCAAAATGTTACACTGTGAGAAGTATTTACCAAGACGCCGCGCTGAAAATCATTCAGAACCCGAATGAGTTTGGATTAGTTCGAAGGTCATTCTTACTAAGAATGAGTTTGTCCTTGCACCTCTGCCTCCTCCAAAACTGTGTTCTTCTCTTTCCCAATCCTCCTTTTACCGGTCGCTCTTCACCTCTAATTCTAAAGTCCAGCCTCCTCTTATGCGCACGCCATATATGTTTACTTTGTTTACACCAGATTCCCACTTCTTAAAATAAAAAATTGCCAACTAAATTCCCATATTCATTGCATATATAACATGTTGAATTTATGGTGAACCCAAATCACATGGGTCAGTTGAATTCAACATGTTAGGCCAGGATTTGAAACTCGTTCTAAGAATGACTTTCGCGCAAATCTAAACTCGTTTAGGCCAGGATTTTGAAAAGGAAAGAATGTGTGGTAGAGAAATGTTTCAGGCGAGCCATGTGATGATAAATGTATTAATATTAAAATGAGTAATTAAATGATAAAAATGAGAAATTAACAAAGAAAATTTAAGATACCCTCTAAATGTCTATTATAAATTTATAATTATAGAAATAAACCGTAAGTGGTAATTGTTTCTTATAAAAAGAAACTTAGGAAGTGTAGATCCATCAATTAATAATATATGTCGATCTATACCACCCACAAATATTTACACTCCTGGAATTGTAATATAGTGATATGTTTCTTTTGACTCAATTTGAAGATTTTTTACTGGCCAGGGCATATATTAATGTAAGCTTCAATTTGCTGCATCTGTAACTCCGTACCATACCTTGTTGCCCAAGTCATGACGGAAAAAGAAAAAGAGTAAGCGTCATCTGGGCATATATATACACATATATATATGGGTGTCATATGTCACAATACCATCACACATGAAACCATATCTTCAGAGATCATGCATACCTTATTCTTCCCCTATATTGCTAACGCTTTGCTGCTATGCCCTCTGATAATATTCGCAACCATGCTCTCCCCAGGCATGTGCAGCAGCTTGAGCATTCAATGCAATGAAAGAGACCGTCATCTTCTCCTAAAATTCAAACACGCTGCTTCTGATCCATACGCCATCCTCTCTACTTGGGCTGATGAACAAGATTGCTGTCAGTGGGAAGGAATTCAGTGTGACAACACCACTGGTAGAGTGATCATGCTTAACCTCCCATGTTCTCCACAACCCAGTGCTACTGATTGTGATGAAGAGGACGAAAGGCAGTGTCTTACAGGTGATCTCCACCTATCTTTGCTTCAGCTTGAGTTTCTAAATTACTTGGATTTGAGAAATCATGACTTCCATGCTGTTATCCAAAATGATCGTGTGGATATCTCAAACTCTACCAATCCATCTGTGTTTGAGTGCCAAAATTCCTCTAATCTTGGTTATCTTGATTTATCCGATAATGAGCATCTTCACTTTGATAGTCTTGATTGGCTTTCCCGTGTTCCATCCTTGAAATATGTTGACCTCAGTGGCATTAGTCTTCGAGGGAGAGTTGACTGGCCTCAATTAGCAACTCTTGTTCCTTTCCTTTCGGAGTTGTACTTTGATAGTTGTCAGCTTTCAAACATTAGTCCTTCTCTCGGTTATGTCAATTTTACTTCGCTTGAAGTTCTTGGCCTCGCTCATAATGATTTTAGCTCTGAATTTCCAGATTGGTTAGGCCAGCTTGAACATCTACAGGTTCTTGATGTTGGTGAAAATTCCTTCTCTGGTCCAATTCCAGATTGGCTAGGCCAACTTGAACATCTACAGGTTCTTAATGTTGGTGAAAATTCCTTTTCTGGTCCAATTCCAGATTGCTTAGGCCAACTTGAACACCTACAGTTTCTTGATGTTAGTGCAAATTCCTTATCTGGTCCAATTCCTTCAACTTTGGGAGATATCTCATCCTTGATTCGCTTGGATGTTAGTTCAAATTACTTAAATGAACGTCTACCGGAAACTATTGGACAACTCTTCAACTTGGAGGAATTACATTTTGATGATAACCACTTGACAGGGTATGTGTCTGAAAAAAATTTTGCCAACCTCTCTAACTTGCATTATCTTTCCATGGGGTCACCTGACTTAATCTTTGACTTCGATCCTGTATGGGTTCCTCCTTTTCAGCTGAAAAAGATTTATTTCTATCACATGGTGGCCTCAAAACTTCCCGCATGGATATACGCCCAAACGTCTCTTTCTGAATTGGTAATTACGAACTCAACAATTTTATTTGAGCCTCAAGACAAGTTTTGGGACTTTGTAGCACGAGTGCCATACATACAATTACAATATAACACAATTCATGGGGAGATGTCTAACGTGTTACTAAACTCTACAATCATAAATCTGAGTAGAAACAAAATCAAAGGCAATCTCCCTCTATTATCACCCAATGTTGCGATGTTCAATGTGTCACATAACTCTTTCCAAGGGCCTATCTCTCCATTATTGTGTCAAAAAATGAAAGGGAAGAGCCAATTAAAGTATGTGGATATGTCTATTAACCTTTTATCTGGAGGGCTTACAAATTGTTGGATGCATTGGAAATCATTGGTTTTTGTTAGGCTAGATGGCAATAATCTAACAGGCACAATCCCCCCATCAATTGGTTTGTTGCCTGACCTTGCGGTTTTGCATCTCAATAAAAATAATTTATTTGGAGAGATACCTTTGTCACTGGTAAATTGTGGGAAGTTGCAGATTCTTGATGTAGGAGAAAATAAATTATCTGGATTCTTAATGAATTGGATGGCGCAAAATGCAAAGATTCTTCGACTAAGATCTAATCAACTAAGTGGAAATATACCACCTCAGATATGCCAATTGGCTTCCCTTAGAATATTGGATTTTGCAGACAACAAAATATCAGGTTCATTACCCATTTGTCTGAAAAATCTGACAGCTATGACTTCCCCTAATTCTTCATATAATAGGGTTTATGGAGTTTGCGTTAAAACTCCAGGATTGTTGAGCTATATCACTGACAATGTTATGGTGCACATAAAAGGCCAAGGATTGAGTTATGAAAACAACTTGAAGTTTTTGCATGCTATTGATCTATCAAGTAATAATATCTCTGGATCAATACCTCCAGAAATATTTAGCCTCAGTGGATTAGAATCTTTGAACTTATCTCATAATCAACTTGAGGGAAACATACCAAATGAAATCAGCAACTTGAACAATTTGGAGTCTCTTGATCTCTCAAGCAATCAACTTTCGGGTGAAATTCCTCAAAGCATGGATAAATTGTCTTTTTTGGAAATCTTGAACCTCTCCTTCAACAATTTCATTGGAAAGATCCCATCAGGAACCCAACTTCAAAGGTCTGATGCACTAAGCTATATTGGGAATCCGAAACTTTGTGGTGCTCCGCTTCCAACAAACTGCATAGACAAACAAGACGTGGAACCCATTGAAAGAAATGACAGTCAAGAAGATGAATTTCTATCCTCCTTCTACATTGGGTTAGGAGTTGGGTTTGCCACAGCTTTTTGGGGTGTCTGTGTTGCCATTTTCTTCAACAGGAATTTCAGGCATTTTACCTTCAGATTCCTCTATCACATCAGAGACAAACTTTATGTCATAATGGTCCTCATGATGAACCGTTTCTGTTGAAGACCTAGCTGGCAGTGTGGTGATTTAAACAAACTTGCGATGTAAGTTTCGACGAAGTCTTTTAAATGTTATATATTTGCCTTTTCTTCTAGTACGCTAAAACTAGATAGATCTTTTATTCTAATCACAAATACCTACATCACCAATAACTATAAAAAGAAGACATGCTTTGGGTTATATATTATGCAGGTTGTTGCTATATAGGCATGCATGTTTCAGGAAGTCTCCTCATCAAGTCATTTAGACTGAACATTGCAACGGAGGGCGAAGGGAAGCTATTGAAAGCATATGACAAGTGGAGTGAAGTTTTTAGTTTGTTGCATTACTTTGAGGCCGTGTACTACTATAGTTCCATTTTCTGCAAAATAAATTTGTATCTGTAATAAGTATGTGTCCTTAAATAAAGAGGAAATTATTTCAGTCCTTAGATAGACTTTTCATATTGACTTGAAAGGCAATTTGGGATGGCCAGCGCTGCCATTATACTCCTAAAAAAAAAGGGACATATGATTCCAATTCAGATGTTTTACATTCAAAAACAAATAAATACGCGTAATTATATTCCTTCCAGAGAGATGGGTTTGATGAGTCACATAGATGGTACTCAGGCTGATGCGAATGTTGTGGTTGTGCAGCTGTAAGCTTGTCAAGATGAGTGAGTTGTAGTCACTGTCAACTAACAGTTGGTCTAATGTTTCGGTAAATCCCCACAATCACTGAAAATTATTGAACTCTTAATTAGAAAAATGATGATGATAATTACTAACAACTGATATAGGGATGGATTTTTCTGTTTTTAAAAGTCTGTTGCTAAATTCGTCTTTAGTTTGGCAAATTTCAGATAAAATTATCTGAGCATTTGTCAAATTAGTTTGAGACTGATCCAGAGAACTTTTCTTGGTCCTTTCTTTCTGATGAAACTTGAGACGAATTTAGCAGGAAATTTTCTCTCCACAACTGTAGTTTCTAATAAGTTTTCTTAGTTTTTTCCTAGCCATTCTCGGTTCTGTGAGAAAAAGCTGTGATGAAAACATTGTTAATGCACTGCTTATTAGTTAAAAGATGATAAAAGATGAATCCAAACATGCTTATAAATCGCATGTTTTTCTTAATATTTAAAGGTAAGCGTATCGGTGCACATAATAATAATACCTTCCACAGAGACAGAGATAATAATAAGAATCCCGTTTGAAACCCCACACTACACAACCAACTTGTACAAGAAGCCAATAATGCATATTATTCAAACGTAAATCCTAACCTTCCATAACACCCACCTGAGTTTTATATCATAGTGGTCCTCAAGATGAACATTATAATTCGTTTCCAATGAAATTAAAACCTTATTGGTAAATTTTAATAAGTGAACAAACTTCGGGTTTAATTATATTTTAGGATAATTGATAAGTAAGTCCTTATAGTTTCAATCAATTTTTAATCAGGTCCCTATAATTTTTTTTAATCAAGTCCTTATAATTTCACATGTTTTTAATCAAGTTCTTCTATTTTTTTTCTTTTTATCATGTCCTTGTTATTTTAACTTATTTTTAATTTGATCTTTGTAGTTTTTATTCTTTATTCTATAAATAATAATATTCTATAAAGCATAAATTAGGATAAGAATATTTTTTAATATTCTTTTAAATTTTTAGTTAAACATATATATTATTTATTTTTAAATTCTAATTTTTATTATAATAATAAAATTTTCTAAAATTACAATATAATTATAGATAATTTATATTTAATTATAATTGATTATTCTAATTAAATATTAATTTCTAAATGATTACATTAATTATTTTGTACAAATAATTTATATTTAATTATAATTTATTATTCTAATTTATTATTAATTAATAAATCATTATATTAATTATTTTTTCTAATTATATAATTATTAATTTTCAAGAATAAATTTTATAAATAAAGTTTTTAAAACTACAAAAGACCTAATTAAAAAATAAGTGAAACTATAAGGACCTGGAAAAAGGAAAAAAATGGAGGGGCTTAATTAAAAACATGTAAAAGTAAAAAGACATGATAAAAGGAAAAAATTTTATAGGGACTTGATTAAAAATCAAATAAAACTGTAAGGACCCAGAGATTAATTATCCCTTATACTTTTACTGAGTTTTTTTTTTTTTTAACTTTGAAAATTTTATATTATATATATATTTTTCCCACTTTTGCAGAAGGCACTGCTGCTAGTTAAGTCTAGTTTTTATTTCGTTAATTCAAACAAGAGCATGTGCAGCTAAGGCAATTTGCGCATTCCATAATTTGACGTGAAACAAGCAAAATTAAAAGAAATCGGCCATTCTTGCATAATATAATATAATATTTAATCTCATTATTTAAATTATCACTAAAAATCTTTCATTACATACAATTAATTCTTCCAGTATTTACAATTATATGTTCCTGTCCATCTGCGTAGGCATTTTCATGAATTTATTTTTTAATTATGTAAATAAAATTTTAAGAGTAAAATATATCATTTTAAAATTTCATGATACCAAAACGTTGATCATGTGATTTAAATAGGACTATAGTATGGTTTTGCCCGGCAGGCATGTGGCCAGAAGTAAAATTGAAGTCCATAGTGTAAGTTGGTCACTTGGCAAAAGTATAACTTCTTCAGTCTTCAATCCTTCAGTTTTATACAAGATTTTATTTTAATCTTCTAATTTTATAAAATATCTTTTTAATGATTTAATCTTAACATTGTTAACAAAAAATGCTGACATTAAAATTTTAAATATTAATAGAGTATTCTCAAATAATAATATATTTATTTTAATTTTCAAAATAATAATGATTAGTGCAAAAAATCGTCATTGAAACTGAAGGTTTTGGGATTTGAATAACTAGAAAAAATATAGTTTAAAATTAAAAAACCAAATTAAAATTTTGTATAAAATTAGAGAACCATATGAATACTAATCATTGCAACCTTTGCATGATAGACCCCTAATTATTGAGCCCAGACAAGAGATAATTAGCATGGGAACAAAGCTTATTTAGTACGCTGATTAAAAAGATGAGCATGAAACATGGTTAATAATAAATAATACATTGATCAGATGAATGATAGTACACATCTGTATGATTTACCTCCTTATTGCTTCGGCCATGAAGATAACTAAAAATGACCACACTACCATATACACTACTATAAATAGGACTTTTAACATCAGTTAAATAAGACTTTTAACGTTGATTATTAGTAAAACTTTTTTAATGACTGTGTTTTGGAATTTTAACGTCAGTTGATAAATAATGTCGTGAATTGAATCGAATTTCAAGGGAAATTGACGTTGTACTTTAAGTTGCCACGATTTTTTTTTATTTTGTTGGTTATCTTGCTAAAAAAGTAAAATTAAATGATTTAATTAAGAGGAAAAAACACATAAGTACCAAATTAAAAATTAAAGGAAAGTATAGGTATCTCAAATATGATTTTTCCAAACTTTTACATACAATTTTATATACCTATTTAGTCTCAACAGGAAAATTTATCTTGGTCCATACAGAAAGGGCAGCAAAGCTATATCAAGTATTTTAACTTTTTTAATTGTTAATTGAAATATTTTTTTGGCCTGATTTTAATTGAAATATTTGATGATAGAGTTTGGCAAAGCTATGTCAAGTATTTTAGTTGTTTTAATTTTTAATGGAAATATTTGATGACAGAGCTTCGCAAAGCTATATCAAGTATTTTAGTTGTTTCAATTTTTAATTGAAATATTTGACGAGAGCTTCGCCTTCCTTCATGGTCCTATTTGGCTCAATTTATACTATGCTGGACTGCTAATAAACTCTACAGTAATAATTAAGGCATAGCATTCAATTATTCCCATACGTCTCTTTATCTTTGTCCAGCTGGAGAAAAAGGAAAAGCTAATTGAGTGAAGGATAAGGAAACTAATTAATCTTTGCCAAATTCGAGCCATCAATTTATGATATGTAATGAACAAACTACTAATACCAGCAAAGGAAGGATATAAATGATCGATCATGTTCAATTGACGTCTTTGTTTTATTTATTTGCGTGCGTGACTGGAGATATATATATATATATATATATATATATATATATATATATTCAAATGCATATTCAATGAAAATATTGTAGTTTCATTTGCAGTGTGCTTTTTTGGGCAGAGGCAAGGCGAGTGATGGATGAAATGAAAGGAAAGGAAAGAGGGAAAGATATATATTCCCTTTATTCTGTACTCTGAAATAGAATAGTACGTTGCTTGCTCTTCTCTCTCATATTTCAAAATAATGACAATCA